TGGATGCTAGTAGAATTTTAAAATATGTCTTGGTAATCTGGCCTACATCTTATGCTCTAGTGATAAACCATGAAATGAGTATGCCCCAGGTAGCTTCTGTCCCTTCATGCTAGACCTCAGAATGAACACATTTAGGGTAAATCTAACTAAACCTATAGCCTGAGGGCAAGCTTGGCCAACCCACAACTGAAGCAGATGGGTCCCAAACTAGATCAAGAAAACCTCAGGTGACCTACAGACAAGTGTGAAAAATAAATACTCATTGTTGTAAGCCACTCAGCAAAAGCGGTTTGTTATGGTAATAGGTTAAAAATATGTCTACCAATCTCCTAACTAGGAATTTATCCGAAGGCAATCAGAAAAAAACAAAGATTTAGAGAAGGGTATTCAACATAGTAATATTTATAACTGCCAAAACTTGAAGAAAAAAAAAGCTACCATCACATAACAGAGGAATCATTTTAAAAATTAAGATACAGCCAGACAAATATTTGAAGATGTTTTTAAAAAATCATGTTCAGAAGAGCACTCAAAAATGTAAGAAAATGTTCATAATATATTACGTATGCAAGATGTATTTTTTTAAGAAAGAATATACTGACAGGTTTTGTTTGTTTGTTTTTAGTGGTGGTGGTGGTACTGAGGTTTGAACTAAGGAAGTCACTATTTGCTAGGCAGATGCCTTAACATTTCTATACACTCCAGCCTAAGAGTTATCTCTAAGCAGAGAAAAAGATCAGTTAGATAAAATCATTTAAGACATTCTTCCTGCTAGACATTTCCTTGTTAAGTATTATACTAAATATTATACTAGGAATGAAGAAGTAAATAAACATGTTCACCGCTTCTTAAGACTAGCAATCTAATAAGAAATATGTATTTTTAAATGGTAATATATGGATATATAATTACAACTTGTGATATGCTGCTTTAGCAGAAACTACTAATTATTAATGACATTATGTCCCATTGGTGGCCGGTCACCAATAATAAACTACATCTCCCAGCCTTCCTTTCTCCTAGCTGAGGTCATATAACTAAGTTCAAATCAAGGGAGTTTTAACTGGAAGTGGTACATACAACTTCCAGTAAACATCCTTAAAAATGAAGGGCTCAGACTTTGTTGCTTTTTCTTCTTCTTACCAGATGGAGTGGCTATTTTAGACTCTGATCTGAAAGTGTCACGCTGAGAATGGCAGAGCAGCAGAACCGGAGGTGCCTAGGTTCACTGATGCTGTGGAACCACTCTCACCAGCCTGAGTCTGTATCCCGGGCTTCCAGAAGAGGAAGAGTAAAACTTCACCCTGGTAAAGCTGTCTTTACTTGGAGTTTTTCAGATATTCACAGATGAACCTAATCATAAATGGTGTCACTATGGTGGAAAATGAAACGATACCTTCACTGGAGACAGGGGCTTCAGGGAGACTTCCTCAGAGGAAGTAACAAATTTGAGCAGTAAATAAAGACTGCCCAGTGAAGCTGAGGAGGATGAAGATCTATTTAGGTGGGGAAAACTAAAGATGCAACCTATGACTTAGGCCTGGATCCCTAAGGGACAAGGAACAAACTTTGAGATGTCCTGTTGCCTTGTGGGCCAGTTGAGTTACACAGAGCACTTGCCTAGCAGGCTCAAGGCCCTAGCCCATCCCTAGGACCTGTGTTGGGGAAGGGATGGAGACTGTCTCTACCAGAATTCAGAATCAAAACAGCACTAAATCAACTAAGCATTGTTGGCTCCAATATCAGAATGTCTCTATTCTGACAAGAAAAGCACACATGCACATATGTCTGTCAAATATAAGGAATGGGAAGGGCAGAATGATAATGATTTCTGTAAAGGAAATTAATAGTTGTTTCTGCCCTTTAGTATTACTACTGTTTAAACGGTTGGATTTCTTGATTAGAATAGTTCATATATCATGAAGAGAACGTCATGTTAACTATCCCTGGCACAGACAAGAGGTAGGTGTTAAATTCTTTTTATTTCTTATTTATTATTTTAAGAACAAAAAATGTAAAACAAAGGAAAAAACCACAGAAAAAATAAACTACGTATAAAATCACAACTATCTAACCTTTTATAGATAGTTTTTATACACATTTTTATATCCACATGGAAACATATATACATAGATCAAATACCAAAATGGAATTATAATATAATAACTTGTATATGCCTTTCCACTACTGTATCAGGAGAATATATCTATGTCACTTAACAGTGTTTTTAATACAGGATTAGTTTATTCCATCAAATCTCAGGATTTTATGAGTTAAAACTGTCAATCACAAACCAAAGCCCTGTAAGTCAAGAAGCTGCCCTCAGAATCTGCCCCAGAGTTACTATTCATAAATCTAAAGTTATGATTTGAAAGCATGTGAGTCTCCTGATAAAGAATTGAACAACGTTCACTAAGTTTTAGCCAAAAGGATGCTTACTAAGGACATTTTCCCCAACAAAGAATATTATTACATAATTAGTCTTCTTCCCTTTCCCTCCCCCACCATATTGCTGAGGATTGAACCCAGGGCCTCAAGCATGATAGGCTAACACTCAACCACTGAATTATGTCCACAGCCTTGTTACTTAGTTTTAAGGAAGAGACTGAATACCACACTAGGACAGAAATAATGACTAAGAACTAAAAGTGTCTATTGTAACAACTACTGACTATCTGTAATTTTTTTTTTTTTTTTTTGGTCAGTTGTAGGGCTTGAACTCAAGGCCTCGGTGCTATCCCTGAGAGTTTTCACTCAAGGCTAGCACCCTACCACTTTGAGACACAGCCCCACTTCCTGTAACTTTTTTTTAATAAAGCAAAATAAGAAAATATTTATACCAATTGTTATTCACTTAAGCTTTCAAATGGATATATAAAATGTATGGTACCCAGAAAAAGAATGGAAGCAAATATGACAAAGAGTTAATAGTTTTAAATTCTGAAATAGCATTCTTCTTCTTCATTCTTGTCTATAATTAAAACTTTTCTTAATATACAAAGTTAAAGTTAAATTAAAATATTAGTCATGTGAGTACAATGGTTCAGATTTTGGTATTAAAGTTATAAAATAAACCAAAATTTTACATTACTTTACACACAAAATATTTCAAACAAACTAGTTTTCTTTAACTGCCCCAATGCCCCAAGTATAGCTTTTGGTTGTTTTAACTTTTTTTTTTTTGGGGGGGGGTGGTCGGCTGTGGGGCTTGAACTCTGGGCTTAAACTCTGGACTTGGATGCTATATCCTTCAGCTCTTCAGATCAAGGCGAGCACTCTACTGCTTGAGCCACAGCGCCACTTCCAGTTTTCTAGTGCTTTATTGGCTTTAAACCTTGATCTTCAGATCTCAGCCTCCGGAGTAGCTAGGATTACAGGCGTGAGCCACCAGGTGCCTGGCTTGGTTGTTTTAACTTTGTGACAGCATCTCCCACCCCTTCCACTAATCAGCTCTTAACTTCTTTCCCTGCTGGAACACGTGAATTTTTCAGCAAAAGTGACTCATTCATTGGCATCTTGTCAAACTAATCCTGAAACTATAAGGAGGCTTAGTGCTAACAGAACTCTAAAGCTAGAACACTTTCCCTAACACACATCATTTGAATTTTTGAGAACTGAATCTCACTCAGGGCCACACATCCTAACAAGCTCTGTTTACATTTTCCTCACAAATCATTCTCCACCATTCTACCTCCTCTCATTTTTATTTTGGCAATTCCTAGTTTAAAATCCCTCCTGTCTATAGAGAAGACAAGCTTAGATGGCCTAAGAAGGAGGAGGGAGTTAACAGTACTTGCTCATTCAGCTTGGAAGATTAACTAAATCATTTATCTATTCTACAGAGTTCTTAAATGACCATACAATCCAGTAACAATCAGAAATCGCTATTCAGGTCCATAAAAAAAAAAAATCAAACTTAGCTTAGCTAATGAGTTTGCTAATATTTCACTAAATCCAAGTTTTAAAAACAACATAAAATCAGTTGTTGAGGACTATTTCATCAAAAATCTTCAATAAGATGCTTTACTAGCAGAAGCTATAGCTAAACATCATTTTGTCTTTTTGGTCCACATAACAGAAAATGTTCTTATTTTATTATTTATCTTTAAGTAGTTGTACAAAGGAGCTGCCACTTAACAAAGCAGTTTATGAATACAATGCATCTTGATCACAGTCATCCCTTTCACCATTCTCACCCATAGACAAATGAGGAGAAGGAAGAATTCAAGAGAGTGTCAAGAAGTCAAGGCAGATCGTACAAAATGTTTTTTTAGCCAGAAGAAAGTTGGTAGGGAAGAAGCAAGAGATTAAATGCTTTATCAGATTACTGTGGATAGAGCTAGCTCTATCAACTGTCAAACTCTACCTGGTGGCAGGAACCACCTAAACTGATGTAGAGGTCATAATAAACAAACAAAAAGCTTCAATTATACTTTCCGAGTGTCCTTGAAAAAAAGTTAGGTATTCTTCTTCTGCCCTATAATAGCATATGTGCAACAAGTTTTCATCGAAGTTTTTTTTTTTCAAAAAATAGGTTAATATCTACTAAAGATTAACATAAGAGCATGACCATACTTAGAGAGGGAGTCCCACATTTAGAGATCTACTTAACAGCTATTCTCTCCAAATGTCAGCTGGAGCCTTTAAAACAAATAACAAGACACATACAGCAGCTAGGATTTTCTACCACATACTCCCACTAACTTTCTTACCCCTTTTCCCCTAAGGGTAAACTACAGAGTTTAATTAACACTGTTAACGCAGCCTACCACATTGCTTTTAGGTATTTGCCAGTAACATACACTCATGGGATACTCTAGAGACTGATTTCAACCAAAAATAAAAATAGATAAACAGAGCTCAAGCAAAATTAAAACCAAGTCTGGCTGCCCACACTTATTTTCACACATAAGGAAAAATAGCAGTTCTCTTAGAAGCCTCAAGCGGACATATCTTTAGAACACAATGTTAAAAATATGCTCCCCCCACTCTTTCCCTACCTGTTTCTCACTCAAAGCTGTGATTTTGGCTTGGAGTTCATGAAGCTGTTTCTTTAAGTCAGCATTCTGATTAGAAAGAAAAAATATCTGTGAGAAAGATATTCATTTGTTAACAGAATAGTAGCAAGAAGAATATGCATACTGTATTACAAATGAAGCAACCATAAGCATTTAGCCAATCAATTTGGTCATGCATTAAATTGTAATAATAATATCTCTTCCTAGTGCATAAATCCTAGCACAGAATAGAGGCAGCTTCTTTGCAACTAAATTTTGTGTGTCTGTATGTGTATTGGGGGCGGGGGGAGGGGACTTGCGTGTGTGCACACACACACATGCACCCATGCTAGTGCTGGGGCTTGACCTCAGGGCCTGGGCTTAGCTTTTTACACTCAAGGCTGGCACTTGAATCATACCTTCACTTCAGGCTTTTTCCACTGGCTAAGAGTCTCATCAGCCAGACTGGCTTTGAACCAAGATGCTCAGATATGCCTCCTGAGTAGCCAGGATTACAGACATGAGCCACCAATGTCTGGCTTATTGCAACTATCTTAAACTACAGAAGTTTTACATTTTAGAACCTTGTACTATAATAGTACCTTTTCACAAAAAAATACTGTTACTCAATATAAATTATCAGTTGACAGAAAACCTAAAGCTCCACTTAATCAGACCAAAACAGGAAAATGGAGGATATAAGTAAGCATATGGAGTATGCTCAGCAGCATTATCAACAAAGATAAGAGGTTTTCCTCTGCTTGTCCTCCCCCTTATTTAGTAAAGCACATGTATTATTTTAGCCTAGATTTGAAAAGCTGTCAGTACTAGGGCTGCCTTAACACCACATCATTCAAATTAACAAACTGACTACAGGGTGCTTTCTCAGTTCTATAATTCTAGGAAATCAGAAAGAAAATAAGAACTATTTTAGATGAGATACATGGAACATGCTTGTTTTTACTCTAGAGGGAGAACAATGTAAAGTTTTTAAGCGCTTAAGGTATGGTAAGAACCTACTATCCAAATACCAGTCCATGACAGACTGCTTTAATTATTTCATACACAATTTTTTTCTAATTCATGTATGATTCCTTCAAGTTACCCTGCCTAGTCTTCTAATATATTAGGGCATACATCTTCTCTCTCTCTCTCTTTTTTTTGGGGGGGGCCAGTCCTGGGACTTGAACTCAGGCTGGAGCACTGTCCCCAAGCTTCTTTGTGCTCAAGGCTTAGCATTCCGACATTTGAGCCACATTGCCACTTCCAGCTTTTTCTGAGTAGTTAATTGGAGATAAGAGTCCCACGGACTTTTCTGCCTGGGCTGGCTTCGCACCACCATCCTCAGATCTCGGCCTTCTGAGTAGCTAGGACTAGACGTGTGAGCCACTGGTGCCTGGCTTCCTCTTCTTTAAGGTTCAGATTTCCTCCATTTTGTGTGTATGTGTATTTGACACAAGGATTCTCTGAGATCACCTATAATGTTGTCTAACAAGTTACTACCCTCAGATTTTTCAAGGTAAGTCTGCAGGCTTACATGATTACCCACTGTATCGAAGACTACTTCAGTTGTTGATAATGGAGGTTACATTAGATAGGAAAGACTCTATCAATGTAGGGTCTCTCACCTCTCAGTTCCCTAAATCCAATTTTTATTAGCATACATTAGTTTTACAAGGAAGGGAGTTCACTGTCCTAACTTCACTTTAAATTATAAATACGTTAAAAAAGAAAAAAGTTTCTTATGGAAGTTGGACTGTCAAACAAGAGTAAATGTGGCCATAAGTGCTAGCTCTCAGAATCAATGAATTGTGTTAAAAACACAATAGTCAACCTAGTAAGTCTGAATTTGTAAAGATGATACTATTTTCTACTTCCAAAAGTCAATCTGCCTCAGTACCATTCTTTAGGAATTTATTTCACTTTACAAAAAAACATGTATGACCCAATGTCTAATGGTTGTAAAAGAGATATTGCCTGAATAATAAATATAAATCTCTGGTAGGCAAAGTAACTTTTTAGAAGAATTTCTCTCCAAAAATAGAGTATAGAGCTGGGAACATGGCTTAATGGTAGAGTTCTTGCCTAGCATGCATGAAGCCCTGGGTTCAATTCCTCAGTACCAAATGAACAACAACAACAACAAAGCCAGAAGTGGCACTGTGGCTCAAGTGGCAGAGTGCTAGCCTTGAGCAAAAAAAGTTCAAGCCCCAGGAGTATAAAATAGAATATATATATCTATATATCTAGATATAGATATAGATATATAAAATAGAGCCCAAAATTCCTTTAAAAAATTAAAGCGAACATTTTCTGGATTATACTACATAAGGTATTCATTAGGGGTTCACTCAAAAATAAAATTTTCTAATTTTTTAAAAAATTATTCTAAGTCAGTTGAGGGTGCCTCGTGTCTGCAATCTTGGCTACTCAGAAGCCTGAGACCTGGAGGATCTTGGTTAAACACCAGCTCAGGCTGAAAGGTCTGAGAGACTCCATATCCAATTAACCACCAAAAATGCCAGAACAGAGGCGTGGCTAAAGCGGTAGAGCATCACTGTGAGCTAGACAGCCAAGCAAGAAGCTTTGAGTTCAAGCTCTTGTACTTACCTGAAACATAGTAAAAGTCAGTATTCGTGTTCTATAAACTCCATGTAATTAATAATGGTTTGGGGCCATTTTCAATAAGTTTAAGACTTATGAACTCTGATTTTTGAATAATAGTATTGACAGAAATGAAATTTAAGCTACATTAAGACTATTAACTCTTGAGTTTTTTCAAAGCAAGTAACATGAAAGTAAAATAATAGTAACAAAGATGAAGTGATACCTATGAGAATAACTGAATTTTTCTAATTCCAATAAGTTTAAAGACTAAAAATAGTCTGTTAGGGATAAAACAATTGTTGAAATTTAAATACCATCTATACTTTAACATTTTGTGGTCATTTTATCTTAATTGAAAAAGGAAGAAAATAGGAAAAGTCTTTTACCTGTGGATCCTGCTTCATTTGAGCAACCAGTTTCTGGTAATAAAAGAGAAAAAGAGAGCCATCAGTCTTACATACTAACTCCACTTGGCTAATCAAGTTTGACCCTCAAATTTTAGGATTTTAAGTCCCCTGCAAAAAAAAAAAAAGAAAAAGAAAAAAAGAAACAAATACCACAATCAAAATAGACCAAAAAGTTTCTATAATGTAAAGCTAATGAAGCACTCCTCGAAGTATTATTTAATATTTGAAATAAAGAAGAACCTGACTTTTAACTTTAGAGACAAGATGGGGAACAACGACTTTTGAAAAGAAATTTAAGTTCTATGACCCAAAAGCCAAAAATCCCATTAAAATATTGTCACTATCTAGAGCCCCAAACAAGATGTGGAACAAAGTTACATCCATACACAGCAAGTATCAGATGTTAATTTGTTCATTCTCAAGGCAGCAGGGACACAGGGAAAGATATGTTCAGTGAACCAAGGATAGTATTTGAGAACAACAACGTAGCAAAATTGCAAAACTACCCACCTGTTTTTCTCTGGAAAAGAAAGTATATCCCAATTCCCAATGAGAGATACCTTTACTAAGAAACCAGAAACCCAATATCAGGCACCAATGGCTCACACCTGTAATCCTAGCTAATCAGGAGGCTAAGATATGTGAATCATGGTTCAGTGCTAGCCCAGGAAGGAAAGTCTATGAGAATCTTATCTATACTTAACTACTAAGAAGCCAGAAATGGCACCATGTCTCAAAGTGGTAGAACACTAGCCTTGAACACAAAAAAAAAACCCTTAGGGACAGCACCCAGACTCTGAGTTCAAGCCCCAGGACAAACACATACACATACAAAAAGAAACCAGAAGTCCAACAAATAAAAAAAAATAAAAATAAATGTAATTTGACCTAATCTAATGGGTAAAAACAATAACCACTGACAAAGTAAGTTAAAGGATAAAGAAATACCAAAAACATAGAAGTAGCAAAGAATTTTCACATATGGAAACATCTGTCACGTTCTTTGGATGTCCAGACACTTTTAAATTATTTAGCTATAAAATAAAATATTTCTAAAATATATAATATATTCATCCATTTTATTAAATAAAAAAGTCAAGCTCTTATTGCTTCTTAAGAGACATGGTATCAATTTAAATACTATGCTACAAACAATTCAATAGGATCCTTGCAATAATAAGCCCATAATTGCTATGTTTTACCAAATGCTTGTGTCTTCAGTTTATTTTTCAGTCCATACAACTTAGTACAAGCAGTCAGCTAGCAAAGCTTGTTATTATCCTGCATTCTCTAACAGTCCTGAAAAACTTCAACTCAAATTTGCTGCTTCTAATATACCATGTGATACTGAACTAATGTGAAGATGAGTGAATATGTTGTAATAACCTAAGAAATCTCTCTTGAGTAAAATGTATTATCTGCAGAGAATGACTTTTGACATTTATTCTAATTGGACAAAACCCCTTCTACTTGGAGCTAACACACATTCAACTGACCTCCAAATACATAAAGTGTACATCAATAAATTCTACTTCACACTAGACAATGGCAGATCTTCAATAGTCTGCTCTTAATCTCTATAAGAGTAATCATACTTAATCCAAGAGTTCAACTGAATTGAAATGCAAAGTTTTATATACAATTTTTCTTTCAAATCTAGCCATAGTTCAAATGAGTCTAATTGTACTTTCTGATTTGGTTACCAGAGAATTGTCTATTTGTGAAGGTTAATATTTTGAAGCTAAAAAGGCTTTTTTTTTTTTAATGACACTGGATTTTAACAAGTGACTCAGAATCACACTAACTTTCTTCTCTAGTGGAAGTACATAAGCCAACTTTTATACATATAACTAGCATTTTATACATTAGAAGCAGAACAAACATGACAAGTTGGACAACTCAAAGACCATACAAATCTCTAGAGACTTTAAGCTGACATGGTTTTACCAAGTTAAGTTAATTTCTACTATATGATCATAGCAACTTTTTTTTTTTTTTTTTTGTCAGTCATGGGACCAGAACTCTGGGCCTGGGCACTGTCCCTTAGCTCTTCAGCTCAAGGTTAACGCTCTACCACTTGAGCCACAGCACCACTTCCAGCTTTTTCTGCTTATGTGGTGCTAAGGAATCGAACCCAAGGCCTCATGCATGCAAGGCAAGCACTCTACCACTGAGCCACCTTCCCAGCCTGATCATAGCAATTTCTCGTGGCACACTTATTGCCAAACTTAGCAAACAACAACCAATAGGCCAAATCCAATCCACCACCTCTTTGTAATAGAGTCAAGCCCATTTGTTTATATACTCTCGGTGGCTGGTTTGTCTGTAGAAAGCAGAGCAGTGGTCAAGCACCAATGGCTCACATCTGTAATCCTAGCTACTCAGAAGGCTAAGATCTGAAAATCATGGTTTGAAGCCAGCCAGGACAGTAAAGTCCATGAGACTCTTATCTCCAATTAACTACCAGAAAACCGGAAGTGGCACTGTGGTTCAAAGTGGTAGCATGCTGGCCTTAAGGGATAACACCCAGGCCCTGAGTTCAAGCCCTACAACCAACAAGACAGACAGACAGACAGACAGACAAGAAAGAAAGGAAGCAAGCAAAGCAGAGTAGTTGTGACAAGAGTCTATGATTAACCTGAACAGCCTGAAAGATTTTACCATTTGACCCATTACAGAAAAAAATCTGTTCACTTCTGCTTTATACTATTTTCCAGTTCATATGAAGTTAATATTAAACAAATATCCAACAAATCCACATAAAAACAATCAAAGAGTGGCTCACTCCTATAATCCCACCTACTTTGGAGAAAGATAAGTAGGACCGAGGTTTGAGGCCAACCCAGGCAGAAAAGAATTAAGAAAAACTCCACCTCAGAAAACAAGCTAAGGACTGTGGTACACTTATGTACTCACATCTACATAGGAAGCTCTAAGCAGGAGGATCCCAATTTGAGGCCAAACCTACAGCAAAGCAAAAGACATATCCAAAAAGCAACTAAAACCAAAGAGGGGCTGGGAATATGGGTTTGGTAGTAGAGCACCTAGCCCCATACCACCAAAAAAAAAAAAAAAAGATCAATCAAAGAAAGGGAGGAAAAGTATGACTTTTCCCCAAAATACGACTATAATTTAAAAATTTGTTGAATAACAGTGCATGTCCCTACTCCTATAAATAACATATGAACAAAATAAACTTCCAGCCAGTGTGGTAGCTATTCAAGAGACAAAAACAGGGGCTGGGAAGGTGGCTTAGTGGTAGAGTGCTTGCCTCACATGCATGAGGCTCTGGCTTCGATTCCTCAGGACCACATAAGCAGAAAAAGCCGGAAGTGGTGCTGTGGCTCAAGTGGTAGAGCACTAGCCTTGAGCTGAAGAGCTAAGGGACAGTGCCCAGGCCCAGAGTTCAGGCCCCACAACCAACAAACAAACAAAAAAAAGGGACCAAAACAGGAGAGTGAAGCAGCTTCAGTCAAAGTTAATGAGACCTGTTTCATAAATAAAAAGAGTAGTAGTGTATGTAGTTCAAGTGGTAAAGTGTTTGCCTAGCATTGGTGAGACACTGGGCTCAGTCCCCAGTATGGAAAAAAAAAAACAAAAAACAAAAACCTTTCTAGCACAACTACAATGTAGTTTCTATCTCAACTACAATATAGTTTCCTAACACAGTTTCGATCTAACAGACTTGATTTCTGCCAAATTTCATTCTCTACCTGGAAGCGCTTTCAAATCTAGCTAAAAGTACAGTCTGACTTGTGGTTCAGAGCTGTGTCAGTGCCAATACCCTGGTGTCATCTCCAGCATCACCAAACATGTCATGTTCAATGACTGTACAGGTTACTCTGCACCCAAACAGAATAACATTAGTTTATAAACGAAGTCTGTAATTGCACTGGCTGCTAATAATTTTTTTCAGAAATAGAAAATGTATGTTTATATGTTAAAATGCTTTAATTGACCTGCAAAAAATGTTTATTATTGCACAAACTGTAGAGTAAGTAAGGGCAAACTGTAACTCCTATATACGGTATTTTCATAATAAAACAAAAAGAAAAAGAAGGATAAGTAAGGGCAAATATAAAAGCTATTCGTTTATGCTCAAAACAAATAGTTAATATGAATATTAAGAATGTTTAGCATAACTTTCGTAAGAATACTATATCCCCTTTGAATTAACAAATGTAACTTTAAATTTAATTAGACTAAAAAGAATAAAGTATATACAACTTATTGTATGCTAAAGGAAGGATACCAGGCAAACTGTTACTAAGCAAAAGTTTAACAAAGTCCAAAGCAACAGCAGGGATTTCTGAGCATACAAACTAAGTGTAAAAATTGGTTGGCTTTCTATCTTGTACATAAATTTTATTTTTTACATATTCATATGTTAATATTTATTCAATATTTTATTACAGTAATATAACATATTTTTAATATTTTATAACAGTATTTTTGAAGCTTTTTTATAAGTTCTCATCCACAATGTATAAATGTAGCAGTAATCAAAGCCCAAGGTATCTCCCAACCTTCATAAGGTAGTCTAGATTAGGTTATTGAAATAAAACAACTGGGCCCTAGTAGCTCCTCCCCATAACTCTAGCTACCCAAGAGGCTGAGAATCTAGAGGATCACAGTTCAAAACAAGCTTAGGTACAAAAATCCATAAGATTCCATTTCCAAAATAACCACTAAAAACCTTGGCTTGGTTACATGGCTCAAGTGGTATAGCACTTGCCTAGTAAGCAGTTCAAACAACTCAAGACCCTGCGTTCAAATTCTAATACCAGCTTAAAAAAAAAAAAAGACAAATAAATACCTTCAAAAAAAGTAGTTCACAGCTGAAGATGCAGCACAGTAAAAGACTACGTGCCTAGCATGTGCAAAACCCTGAATTTGATCTAAAGCACCACCAAAAACAAAAAGTTTCCTTCTGTTCACCATTCCCATATTCACAACTGTTATACATTCAGAAGTAGTCATCATCATTTATCATTTTTGGGTCCCAAGAACTGTGTGTGTGTGTGTGCATTTTCTACAGCCCAATGCCCAGCTAATGTCTAGAAAACAGACATAGTGATACTCTGTTTACACAAGAAATATTAATGCTTTAGTCATTTATGAATAATATGTCTTGGTTATAATGTATGTTTATTTTTATGTCAATATATACAATTAAAATATACTAAATATTTTATCTTTCCATGGAAACATAATTACTGCATAAATGTAACCATAGTATATTTTACTTATATACACATAGTTATAATTTATAATTTAGTATAGGTATGTAGGATAAAATGTAACAACTGTGATTTTTTTTTTTTTTTTTGTGATGCCAGTACTCACAGCCTGGGTGCTGTCCCTGAGCTTTTTGTTAAAGGCTACTGCTCTATTACTTGAGCTAGAGCTCCACTTGTGTATTTTTTGGTGATTAACTGGAGATAAAAGTCTCTCGAACTTCTTGCTCATCAGACTTTAAACTTTGATCCTCATATCTCAGCCTCTTGAATAGCATGGTCACTGCCACCCAGAGCAGCATTGTGATATTTTTAATTTAACATCTATGAAAGCAATCAGATTTGCTTTCTTTTTCCTATTAGCATGCACTCAGTGTACCAGGAAAGGTTTCACTAATATTTCCATGTATGTATAAATGTATTCTGATCAAGCTCAATCCCTCTGTCGTTCTCCTTTATCCTCCCCCTTCTTAAAACAATTTCAACAAGTTTTACTATTCAATTTTCATGCGTGCAAACAGACTACTATACAATCAGATTCTCTTTACCAAAGATTGGAATCAAGACATAAAGTTGAGTCATATGATGAGTAAAAACCTCAATATATGTTTCATTATTTTAAAAAAAATCAAGTTATACCACGTGAACAACGTCCTTCAAATGAAAAAAGTTTCTTTTCTTCTATAACTTTTGGGATATGAAACAATATTTTTATTTACACCTCTTCTCTGAAAAGAAAATCAAAAATATTTTATTTATTAAAGTTCTTGAAAGTAGAAACAGTGCATTTGTTGAGTAGTGGTAATAGGAAAATGACAAGACTCTTGGATAAATGTCTAAAGGTGATTTTAAAACTGTACTGGAAACCAGAAATGGGCCTCTATACTAATCTTTGCCAGTAATGTAGCATACCTGGTGAACCTGAATTTCCACTTTAAGAGCCTCCTGTAGAGTCTGCAACTCCATCCTCTACTTTCTCCACTTTCTCGTATGTCTGCTAGTTCTATAGTTTCTTCAGCCTCTGTTTAAAATAACAAGCTCCTCTTGTCGCTGCAGCTGTGGAGACCAAAGAGTGTTGGGGATCATTATGTTGAGAATAAAGAAAATTTGTGCTATAAAATAAGTTAGGGAAAAAAATTAAGTTTCTGACATAGAACCAACAACTCTAAATCCCGAAAAAGCTTTTCCCCCACCACACACATACACACACACACACACACACACACACACACACACACATATACACACACACACACACAAATCAGTACTAAAAATTCCTGGGTTTTACTCTATTATTTTATGATTATTGTTGTTGTTGTTATTAATAAGTAGTTGTATTAGGGGGTTATAATTCCACAAGTCAGGTTATAAGGACAATGTTCATGGTCCATGTCACCCTTCCTTTATTCTCTGTATTGCCCCCACTACGTCCCTACCCTCAGTGCTCTTTGAGCATCCCTATATAGAACACTTCAAATAACTGAAAAGAGAGAAACAAGAGAAAACAAAAAAAGTCACAGGCATGGAGACATCTAGATAGCCACTGTGTGCTCAGCACTGTTACATTCTACATGCTGAGCACACAGTAAACAAGCATTCCTGCCCTACGTGTCCAAAGCCAGGAGACCATCACCATCCTGAACATGCTGCACTAGGAAAAGACATAACATAGCAACATAACCAAACATTTGTTGTTGTTTAAATCCCGGCGTAAACAAGATTAGGGTCTCTCAAAAGTTAAAAATCACCAGAAGACTTTCATTTTACTCTATTTTAAAAATAAATTCAAAACAAGGGGGAAATCTGGCATGATTTAAATGTTTAAATTTTAGCAAGGGGCTGGTGGCTCGTGCTTGTATATCCTAGTTATTCAAGAGGCTGAGATTTGAAGATCATGGTTTGAAGGATCCCAGGAAGATTAAGTCTATGACACTTTTACCTCTAACCACCAAAAAGCCAGAAGTGAAGATATATAGCTGAAGTGGTAGAGTCTTGAGCAAAAAAGTCAGGGGCATGGCCTAGGCCTTGACTTCAAGCCCCAGAACCAGCACAAAAGAAAAAAAAAAAAAGGTTAAAGTTAACAAGTTAATATTTAACACAAATACAATGTAAGTGTAATATTTAAAACAAATACTAAGTAAGTGTGCTATCTACAGAGTTTTGACAGGGATATTAAAGAATATAGCTATTGGGTTCATTTGAGGTGGTCTAGCAATATAATATGCAAATATGCTTCCATCTTTACAATGAACATCTTTTCTTCTCAAACCTGCTGATACATCTCTTTGACAACATGCATAACTTCACATGGGATCATGTAAAAAGTCTAACTTTGTGACCAATGTGGCTACACACAAATGTGACACACCCTGTCACCTTCCTAACCTCTGCTCATCACTACTGTACTATAATTTAACTAAATGGCTAATACATGGCTCCACTTCTAGCATTTTTATTTTTTTGTTTGGTTGGGGGACTTAGGGTTGTTAATTGGAGATAAAGAGTCTCAAGCTATCTGTACATGCTAACTTCAAAGTATGATCCTCAGATCTGAGCTTCCTGAGTAGCTAGGATTACAGAAGTGAGCCACTGGCTCCTGACTTGAAGGAGAAAACCCTATTTAATTATTTTTAATGGTGACACATGACACCCTAGCTCACAGAACTGACATAAACTCTAGAAACAACCAGCAGGTTACAAACATGGAGAACTAGAAGTGGAGCTATGGTTCCAGAGATAAGAGTGTCAGTTTTGAACAGGAACAGCACACAGGCCCTAAGTTCAAGCCCCAGGACCAAAATAAGTTAATTAATTAAAAAGGCATTGAGAGTTACTTTCTTCTTTTTGGGGTATCAATGTTTCCCATGAAATTTTTCCATAAAAATACATACCTATTAATTTATAAGGCACTAGAAAATTATGATACTGATCAAAGACAATGCTTAAGAAAAGAAAAGGCAAAGCTAGGGTTTACCCTGAGGAGCTGATAGCTTTTACTTCCCCTATTGGATTGTAGTCTGTTTATCAGAGCTATATAAAGGCAAAAAGTTTTATTTGGCAAGGGACTTTAAATGCCAATTAACCAGTTTATTTCAAAATAAAATTCAAAATAAAATTGAAGGGTTAAAAAGATACAGAAAAACTTAAGATTCATCCATTTCTCAGAAAAGTCTCTTTCTGGGTATGAATTTCAAGAGACTAGTATCTAATTAAAGGAAGAAATTATAAATACATATTTATAATTTCAAAGACAAGACAAGCACATGCTATATACTTAAAAAAAAAAAAAACATTTGCAGTTCCAGATGTCAGTGGCTCATGCCTACAATACTAGCTACTCAGAAGGCTGAGATCTGAGGATCCTAGTTCAAAGCCCGTCTGGGCAAGAAAGTCCTTAAGACTCTTATCTTCAATTAATTACTAAAAAGCCAAAAGCAGAGCTGTGGTTCAAGTGATAGAGCATCAGCCTGAGCAAAAACAGCTAAGGGACAGAGCCAAGGCCTTGAGTTCAAGGCCTAGTATCAGTACCAAAACCAAAACAAATTTAACTTAGCCATTAACTGCACACAATTTGGGGGTAACTTATAGGATCAAAAGAAAGTATTCTTTTCTAAATTTGTAAAAGACCATTTATTATATTTTGACCAATACTAATAAGGTGACTTCAAGGTGAAAATAAACTGACAACACAGTAAGGGACACATTTCATTTAGGTACAATGCCTTCCACCATCTAACAGCTACCATCAGCAGGAAGGGTACTTGTCTACCAAGACATGACAAAATTCACAGTCTTCAGGACTGTACACGCCAAACTATTGGGATATGCAGTGGCCTCTCACCTTCAAATAACAAAACATAAAACACATAAGCAAGCAAACAAAATGAAGAAATAAATCAAAGCCCACCAAAAAAAGGAATCTGGATGATATATAGGAAAAAAATATTTACTGCTTTACACCTTACACAAAAGCAAAAGAACTAATTCCACTTACTCATTATGGGACTTTTATCCTCAGGGTTTGTCTGCTTATAAATCAGGAAAATAGGAATAATATCACTTATGTCACTGAATCTTGAGTCTTAAAGTGAAGTTATATGAAAGGCCCATTGTAATCTGTAAAGTTGTAATGTTATTTTTGACATACTTAATTCTTTTATACTTCAGTTTTTTAATAAAATTTCTCAACATAATATATTTCTATTAACAAATTTTCTAAAAAAGGGTTTTCTATTTTTCTGAGTAGTTTTACTTGGACATATGTGACTTGTAGTTCTTTTATTATAACTCCAATAATGTATAAGAAAACTATACTTCTGATTTTACTGCTAAAAAAAATTTGCTCTGTTACCAAACTAATATGAACCCTTTCCCAATCAAAATGTCACTGCTCAATCAATAGTTATTTTAGAAGTAAGCCCACAACACTGCATCCACAGATTGTCCCTAAAAATTGACAGCATTCCGTTCTATGTATCATAAATGTATTTGGTTCAAAATTCCTCTGCTTTTGATCAATATTCTCTTAAAGAAGGCTAATTTATGTACTTAGGTTGGGGTGGGGTGGGTGTTGAACTCAGAGCTTCAAGCTTGCTAGGCTAGCATTCTACTTCTTGAGCCATACCTCCTGCCCTGATTTTTTGCTGATTATTTTGGAGACAAAGTCTGGTGAACTTTTCTGCCTGAGCTGGCCTCAAAACCTTGATCTTCCATTTCTCATCCTCCTGAATATATAGGATACAGGTAAAATCCACTAAGTCCAGCTAAAGAAAGTTTAATATTTTAAATAGGAAAAAGTAGTCGGAACCAATCCATGTATCCTTATATCTTGTCCCATGGGTAATACCAGATTTCAATTTCTTACTATCTAACATAAAGCAAGATAAAATAATATCTTTGATTATTAATTAAGTGCTAAAAATTACCATGGATGCTAAAAATACTAAAATTCTTTTAACAGTATTAATTGAAACCATTATTAATATCAAAAATGACATTAAAAGTTAATTGTGTTTTCTTATCATTTAACAAGTTTTCAACGTTCTGATTTCCTTGTAGGGTAGAATTTCTTTGGTGACTCTCCACAAGCCAATGGGAACTGTTCTGTAGAGAACAGTGCTAACTATCCATTCAATCTTCATGGTTACTATGCTCAAAGCCTAGGGTGACAGCTACTAACAAAAGTCACCAGAGAGCAGTGGTACTCACTAGACACTATGTTGAGAATGAACTATACAACTTGTGGGTAGAGATGGAAGGGAAAAACTGGGAGATGGCAAGGGAAGGGGTAACACTGTCTAAAAAGAAACGTACTCTTTACCTGACTTATGTAACGGTAACCCCCTTTGTACATCATCTTTATATAAAATAACAATTTTTTTAAAAGTCACCAGAGTTGGTTAGATCTTTCTAAAGTATTCAATTAAACAGTCATGTTGTCTCCTAATTATTAAATGATGTTTCTTGTTTATTCAATTGTCTATCTTTCCCTTGTATGTTTGTTTGGTTTGGGAGGAAGAGGAAAGGTCCTCGTTTTTTATCAAAAGAACACATACAGGCGCTGGGAATGTGGCTTAGTGGTAGAGTGTTTGCCTAGCATGCACGAAGCACTGGGTTTGATTCCTCGCACCATACAAACAGAAAATGCCGGCAATGGCGCTGTGGCTCAAGTGGTAGGGTGCTAGCTTTGAACAAAAGAAGCTCAGGGACAGTGCTCAGGCCCTGAGTTTAAGCCCCAGGACTTGGGGGAGGGGGGGCGCGCAGAGAGAACACATACAGAACTCCCAGTACTGAGCCAAGGGCTTTGTGTGTTTTGACATGGACAATTCCTTCTGGAGCTGTGGCAGGGCACTGTCCTTTTCCTTACCTCATGCCTAATCTCAACATGCAGTCAACCTCAGCTTCCTTAGTTTCTGGGGCCAGACACACATGGGCCAGACACACATGGGCCTATGTGCACACATGCACAATCACACACACACACACACACACATTCTTCTATTGTCCATCTCTCTACACAGTATAGCTACTAAAATTATCCCAACCACACCCAACAAGAGGAACACGAATAAATTCAAAAAGAAGAAAACTGGAGAGTAGTGTATGAAAGTACAGTGACAATGAGACTAAAATTTCATAACGAGTTGTCACATTTACGAGTTGGTGACTTAAAAAACATCTAGATAAGCCTTGCCATAGTCTTATAAACATAATACCACATAAAGGATAACACAGGCGGGTGTGGTGTCTCAGCATAACCATTAATTACTTAATAGAAGTAAAGTTATGGGACATAGATGTCAGATCAATATAAAGAACTAAGGATTAGAGCTATATGAAAAAGGAATGGGTTACCTTATGAGGTAGTGGGCTCCCTGTCATTAGAAGTATTCAAGAATGCTGCATATCATAGCCCCCTCTTGGAGATTCACAATGCATATTAGCATATTAAAGGTTCTGAGAAGTCCTGCAGTAAAGAAACCTGTTTAACTTTGTTTGATGCAGCATTTCCCAAATTATTTGACCATAGAACCCCTTTCCCACCCAGCCCCACCTAGAGATTTACTTAGTTTTTATGGAACTAGGGTTCCTCAGAATATATTGTATAATATATTGGTCTCCATTTTTTGATGTAATATTCAACTGATTCAATAACTGTCAGGGAAATAGTAAAAGTAATCGCCATGAGGAAGAAGATGTAGAAGGAAGGTCCTTAAGGTTCTTTAAGATTTCACCATTCTACTATATTACTAAGTGAAGCATTGCAGAATTTTGGATTCTTTTTTGTTGTTTTTGGTGATACTGGGGTCTGAACTCTGGACTTCAGGTTTGCTAGCTCAGCTGGCACTCAATCATTTCAGCCATGCTTTTTCACAGGTTATTCTGGAGACAGTTTCTTTTAAGCTTTTCTTCCAGAGTTGGCTTTGAAACACAATCCTCCAGATCTCAGCCTCCTGAGTAGCTAGGATTACATGCATGAACTTCATTATTCATGCACCCACGCTTCATAGTTTATTTTTTTAAAGGTTCCATGGATGAAAAGCAAGTAAAACTAAGTAGCAGTGGAAATATATGGTTTGCTGGTTCAAGTATCCTTTCATAGTGAAAACTCAACCTTTAAAAGACAAGAGAGACATCTCAAGGATCATAAATTTTTTTAAAAAGCTAAATATCTACCATAACTACTCACTAAATAGATTATTATATCAGAGATAGAATATTAAAAAGTCATCTTGCATTGGTTATTTCATAATTCTAGTTATATTATTTGAGTTGGTCTTTGTTTTCCTAATACATAGCTCCTAAAGTTAATATTTGTTTGGTGCTTAGTTACTAGACTGCTGTTCTGTGTAATCTGTGATACTGAATTAGACATCCAAAAGAAATAATTAAGTATAAGGGGTTAGAAGCTATTAAATCTACTAAAGTAAAAATTAGGGTAAAATATGTGCTCTACATATACCTGGCCCTCGGGGCTGGGAAGGCTCAGTGGTAGAGTGCTTGCCTTGCATGCATGAGGCCCTGGGTTCAATTCTTCAGCACCACATAAACAGAAAAAGCCGGAAGTGGCACTGTGGCTCAAGTGGTAGAGAGAGCTAGCCTTGAGCTGAAGAGCCAAAGGACAACACCTAGGCCCAGAGTTCAGGCCCTGTGACCCACAAAAACAAAACAAAACATATTCCTGGCCCTTTCCCTCTCCATTTTTCCTTTTGAAGAATTATATGGCCAGGCACCAGCCGGTCACACTTGTGATCCTAGTTAGTCAGGAGGCTGAGATCTGAGGACCAGGATCCAAAGCCAGCCAGGGCAGGAGGTCCCTGAGACTTATCTCCAATTAACCACCCAAAAGCAGGAAGTGAAAGTGCGACTCAAATGGTAGAGTACCAGCCTTGTGAGAAAAAGCTCAGGCCTTGAATTCAAGCTCCATATAGGCATACAAAACAAATAATAATTAAACAAAACTGGGCACCACAATTGTAACCCTCACTGTTTAGGAGTCTGAGACCTGAAGGACCATAGATCAGGACCAGCCCATGCAAAAGAAGTGAGACTCCATCTCCAATAAACCAGCAAGATGCTGGACTGGAGGTATGGCTCAAGTGGTAGAGCACCAAGTATGAACAAGAACGCTAGTAAGTGTGATGCCATGAGTTCAAGCCTCAGTATCAGCACACACATGCACACACACACAAATAAATTATGTACACACATACTAAAACATATTCGACATGAAACTAATCTAATATTAAGAATATAAATGCTAGTGTTCCAAATTACAAAGTCAAAGTCCCCAGAGTTATATTACCTACCTTTTTACACATTAAATATTAAAGTCATCCAATTTAACAGCGTATTAAAAGTAAAAACACAAAATACAATGAGAATCTTAACTTCTGAATTCCTGACTTTTGAATTTAAGCCCTCACATTTTTGTCCAATGAGATCTTTACATTTTTAAAAGGCTACCAAACGTACCCCAACAGAATTATCTGACACACAAATGCATTTGACACATGACTATGTGAAATTCAACAAAAATTCACTTTTAGTGCAAACAACAAAGCTTCATTTTCAGGAAGAGAGCTGTTTAAAATTTAAAAAAAAAAATCACTGAATATTTTTTAATTATTTCAACTTCGCATCAGGTAAACTATGTTTACTTAGTAAAAATACTTACCAAGTTTGGGGAAACTGGCTCTCTTTCAGCTCTCCAGCCCCCTATAACAGGAAAAGCAAAAAAAAAAAAAAAATTAGATCACAGATTTTTAAAATTTTTAAAAGCTGAAAACTTAAATTTATTACTGATTTTATAGGGGGAAAAGTCTCCAGATTTGAAAACCCAAAGGGAAAAAGCAAGTAGTAGTTTTTACAGCAAAGAAGGAACTTAAGAGCAGTTAAATCTACCCTACTGCTCAGTTTTTCAAGACAATGAAAAGGTCTCACAGGTGATGTCTGCGTACTGAGGGAGGAGGGGTAAGGGAACACACCCCAGGTAGAAAAGAACAGTGTTATACCTGAGTCCTCAGAAACTACCACCAGAAGCCAGCTGCCTATTACAAGTCTCACCAGTAACAGAAGTTTGTTTTACTTAATGCTTCATCTTAATGTTTGATCATTTTCTCTTAGCTGGTATTATATGAAACTGTATTTTAGTCACTTTTTGGAAGTACTGAAGTTTGAACTCTGACCTCTCACTTATCTACCCAGTGCTCTGCTACTTGAGCCATGGCCCCAGCCCTGTTTTGCTTTTATTCTTTCACATAAGGTCGCATATTTGTTTTTTATTTGTTTTATTACTACCACCACCACCGTCTCTGCCAGATCTATGTTAGACCACAATACTCTGGAGTTTCCTGAGTAGCTGGGGTTGCAGACATGCATCTTCATGTCTAATTTGTTCTTTAAGATAGGGTCTCATTTAACTCTTTTTGCTTGGGCTGGCTTTGAACCCAATCCTTCTCCTGTCTCCACCTGGGGTTACAGGCACAGACCACTATGCTTGGCCTCATCTGTGTTTTTAAGTTTTCATAAATATTAGTTTTTAGAAAAGATTTGCATATTTTAGAGTAAATAATAAAACTTATCTAAACTTTTCTTAAATGATTCAGTATTTCTAGGGTTTGCAATTTAACTCCAAGTTTTTTAAACTGCTGCAAATCTAAACACACACACACACACACACACACAACTGTGTATAAGTGGATATGGACATGTGGAGTTTAGCCCTGTGTTGTTACTGTTGTTCAAGAGTCAACTAAACTTAAAAGTTTTCCTTTACCAAGATACATAGAAAGGAAACAGGACTCGGGCACCAATGGCTCATACCTGTAATCCTAGCTACTCAGAAGGCTGAGATCTGAGGATCATGGTTCAAAGCCAGCCCAGGCAGAAAAGTCCATGAGACTCTTATCTCCAATTAACCACCAGAAAACCAGAAGTGACACTGTGGCTCAAGTGGTAGATCACTAGCCTTGAGCTAAAGAGCTGAGGGGCAGTACCCAGGCCCAGAATTCAGGCCCCACAACTGACAAAAAAAAAAAAGAAAGAAAGAAAGGAAATGGGTCACACAGAAATAACATATAACTAGCACCACAAAGGACCTCCAATGTTTCTTACACTCAACTTTAAACTAACATCATCAGTACTTTGCTCACTTAAAAGGTCTTTTTCCAGGGCTGGGAAGGTGGCTCAGTGGTAGAGTGCTTGCCTTGCATGCATGAGGCCCTGGCTTCGATTCCTCAGCACCACATAAGCAGAAAAAGCCAGAAGTGGCGCTATGGCTCAAGTGGTAGAGCACTAGTCTTGAGCTGATGAGCTGAGGAACAGCACCCAGACCCAGAGTTCAGGCCCCATGACTGACAAAAAAAAAAAGGTCTTTTTCCAATTAATCTGTGTGTGTGTGTGTGTGTGTGTGCCAGTTGTAGGGTTTGAGCTCAGGGCCTAGGCACTCAGTGTGAGCTCTTTTGCTCAAGGCTAGTGCTCTACCACTGAAGCCACAGCTCCACTTCCGTTTTATGGTTAATTGGAGAAAGGTACGAGTCTCACAGGCTTGCCCAAGCTGGCTTCAAACAGTGGCCTTCAGATCTCAGCCTCCTGAGTAACTAGGATTACAAGCCTGAGCCACCAGTGTCTGGCTCCAATTAGTCTTAAAATGGGTTTGCTTATGTAAGGCTTTAAATTCACAGCATTATGTAATGCAATAAATAATATGAATGCAAGTAACAGTCCGAATTTTACATTTTCATTCACATTCTTAAATGTACCTCAGCAGGTGATTTTTTTCATATTTCTTTTTTTTTAAATGTTTTTAAGGGAAAGAGGCTTTTTATTTTTTAATTAATTTATTGTTATTATAAAGGTGATATACAGAGGGATTACAATTACATGAGTCAGGTGATGAGTACATTTCCTTTCCTAGAGTATCTTCGCTGGCCTCACTCTCTCCCAATCCTCCCTCCTGTCTCACCCAGGAGTTGTAGAGTTCACTCTCATCAGTGTCCCGTGAGCTCCACTGCTGCAGTTTTTCACCTGTTTTCCCTGGAATTCTACATGTTCCCCCCACCCTCTCAAAGACATACACTTGAATACACCATACATAAAAAAAGAAGACAGAATCACCAAAATAATTTTAAAAATTTTAAAAAGAAAAAAAGATCTCATGTCCGTATCTTGAGTTCATTCCAATATATATTATTTTATATAAACATAAATGGTGATTTTTTTTAAAAAAATCATTTTAAGATCCAATCCAATATTAGGAAACAAAAATTGAATGTCACCCCTAACATTTTACTGTTAAATTACTTCAACATGCCATGAGCCCTAAACGTCTTTCTTATGCCTTAAACCTATATACTTGTTGACAGATGTTACTCCAACAATAGAACATATCCTCAGAATATTTGTTCTGTCAGACTATTTCTATTGTTCCTTTGGTGTGTGTGAAACTGAAGTTTGAACTCATGACTTCATGATTTTTGGTAGATACCCTACCACTTGAGCCACACCCACCACACTTTTTTAGCCAATTACAATTCAACTAGTATCTTGAGATTTTTGCCGTGGTGACAGGCCTTCCCTAAGGCCTCTGGCATAGCTGGCATGCGCTACTATAACCAGCTTATAGAGTGAATGAGAGTATCACTAATTTTTTGTATAGGCTGATCTTGAACCATAATCCTCCCAATCTCTCCCTTCCAAGGAGCTGGGATCACAGTCATGAGCCATTATACCTGGATTTTCTTGGAATATTTCAAAAGATTGAGTACTAAGATTATTACTAAGATTCTAAGCCTTTCATTTAATCACAAACATTAATATCTCATAAGAAACATACAATAAAATTATTTAAAAGGGCCCCATTTGGCTGGTACAAGTGTCTCACACCTGTAATCCTTGCATAATCAGAAGGCTGCCATCTGAGGATCTCTGCTTAAAGCCAACCTAAGCAACATTAGTACATGATAGTCTTTTCTCTAACCAGAAAATGAGCTGGACTGGAAGTATAGCTAAGTGGGAAAGCACCAGCTATGAATGAACATAGAGCATGAACCCTGCATTCAAGCCCCAGTACACACACACACTCTCTCTCTCTCTCTCTCTCTCTCTCTCTCTCTCTCTCTCTCTTTCATGTGGTTTCCATTTGCAAAAGAAATTCAGTATGTTGTGCCACCTTCCCTCTTTAGCTGTCCTTTTTAAAATTCTCAAGTCCATCTACATGATAATTATGATTACCAAGATTAGAATGATTTCCTAACCAAAAGAAAACTCATACAAACATGCACAGAATGATGCAGTTTTTAGAAAGTGAATTCTTATCATCAGTTACCTACAGTACCCAGTGTCATTCAAAAAAATGTTTGAAGCAGTACCAGACACACAGTAATGTTCAATAAATACTTGTTAAATCAATGAATTTACTGAACAGACACTCAAAGTGTTGCACACTTATGGTTTCTTTCCAGGCTTTCTGCTAGCTTTTCAAAATAATGAGTTTTTATGCACCTATAACAGCATTATTTGTAAAATGACTTTTTAAAACAGCTTTTTATTCAAATTGTTGACTAGGAAGTAAAATATAATGAGGGGTTAAAGGCACAGCTCAGGTGGTAGAGCATCAGACAATGAGCAAAAGCATCATTGTAAAGAGTTCAAATCCTGGTCTGGAACACAAGAAAGGACAGGGACAGGAAAAGGGAAAGGAAAAGAGAAGGGAAGGGAAAGGGAAAGGGAAAAGGGAAAAAGAAAGGAAAAAAAATAAACAACTACTGGGTGCTGGTGGCTCACATCTGTGAAATCCTAGCTACTAATGGAGGCTGAGATCTGAGAAACACTGTTGGAAGCCAGCCCAGACAGGAAAGCCCATAAGACACTTTGCCTTGAACAAAGCAGCCCTGGGACACTCAAAGGCCCTGAGTTCAAGCCCCAGGACACATTAGTACATGATACTCTTCTCTAACCAGCAAATGAGCTGGACTGGAAGTATAGCTAATGTGCCCCTGACACAAAAACTGAAAAATTAAACTTAAAAAATATGCAATATAATGAAGAGTTTGACAAATTGTGTTTAACTAAAGTTAAGAACTCTGTTCAAGCTGGTCACCGGTGGCTCACACCTATAATCCTAGCTACTCAGGAGGCTGAGATCTGAGGATCACAGTTCAAAGACAGCCCAGGCAGGAAAGTCTGTGAGATTCTTATCTCCAGTTAACCACCAAAAATCAGAAGTGGTGTTGTGCTCAAGTAGTAGAGCGCTAGCCTTGAGCTGAAGAGCTCAGGGACAGCACCAGACCCAGAGTTCAGGCCTCATGACCTGTGGGGGGGGGGGGGGGGGGGATAAATTCTGTTCATTAAAAAAAATTACAGTGAAAAAACAAGCCAGAGAGTTTGAGTTGATAATTGCAATGCATATAATCAACCAAGGCAGGATATATAAAATATGTTGAGACTCAAAGTGATGAGGAGAGGATTTTAACTTCTATTTATATAGCATTTGATAAAGTGTAACCAGAGAAAGTCTCAGAAAAGTCAAGTTTAGTAAAGGGCACTTTCTCCAAAATTCAGTAGCAGAAACGGATCCTAATCTAATGAAGAATTTTACCATAATATCATGAAACTTGCATCTTGAAATGCTAACCACAAGGGAAAAAAATAACAAAACCTGCTTATAGGGAAATAATACAGAAAAGTAAAGCCAGAAAGATGAAGACACTTCTCAG